ATTATATATATATAGTAATGATTTTAGCTTTATATATATATTATTGAAGCCGATGACACCACGACATCGTGGGAACAGCGATCATTGCCCGCGTCGCGTCGCCACGACGACGGCGTTAATTACGCCGATCGTCTAATTGGGTTTCGCCGATTAATTCGATTACGACTATGATGAATATATAATGAATTATATGATTCGGGCGCGGGAAAAACGCGGCATGCTCGGCGCCCCTAGGTGGCGCTACAAGCAAGGGAACGCGCCTCGCCCAGTAATAATGTTCTCGCAGTACCTGTTTACGTTCATGATACCTATATATTCATTCATTCTTATTTCACACGTTGCTCGCATACCGATTGTATACATTGCTAGAAGAATCTTGAACGTGCGGTGTCCCCATTGTTGTGTGGGGTTGCACGGTGTTGCTCTATGTTGTGTGGTGTTGCTGGGGATTGCCCCTATGCTGCGTGGTGTTATCCCAATGTTGTATGGTGTTGCCCCATGTTGCCCAAAGTTACAGAAAGTTGCCCAGTGTTGCCAGATATTGCCCCTATCTTGTACGATGTTGCCGAGTGTTACTCCATATGTTGAACAATGTTGCCCCTATATTGCAACATGTTGGCCAATGTTGCAACATGTTGGCCAGTGTTGCCCGATGTTGCAACATGTTGGCCAGTGTTGCTCCTATATTGCAACATGTTGGCCAGTGTTGCCCCTATATTGCAACATGTTGGCTAGTGTTGCCCGATGTTGCCGCGCCCCGGGTTCAACTTGCAGACGCGCGCACTCACCGTGACGATGGGTAGCAGCTTCCTCCTCTCCCGTCCCGCGTCGTCCACGCCCGGGGGTTGCTCGGGGGGAGGGTGGCACACTAGCTGCGTCTCGGCGAGCGAGGTGACGTTGCACGGCTGCAGGCCGACCGTCACCACGACGTCGCCCGTGTCACTCGCCAGGTTCAGATTCTCTCCCTGTAACCACGGCAACGCGGATGAGGTTCACGTGTCTATATCTATCATTCTATTT